ATCAGAATTATGCTATAAGAAATGATAAAAGACTTACTGAACAGGGAGGGCAGCAGTTCCATTTCTAGTCTTCCCAAGCAGCATACATACACTCAAGCAGTCATGTCGAAGGGACCTGCCATTGGCATTGATCTTGGCACCACCTACTCTTGTGTGTTTCCAATACAGAAAAGTGGAAATAATTGCCAGTGATCAGGGAAACTGAACTACCTCAAGTTATGTTGCCTTTACTAATATAGAATGGTCAATCAGTGATGCTGCAGAGAATCAAGTTGCAATGAATCTTACCTGCACCGTTTTTTTTTATGGCAAACGCTTGATTGAGTATAGATTTGATGATGCTGTTTTCCAATCTGATATGAAACATTGGCCCTTCATGGTGGTCAGTGATGCCAACAAGTTCAAGGTCCAAGTATAATACAAGGGAGAGACCGAAAGTTTCTATCTAGAAGGGGTGTCATCTATGGAAATCACAGAAGATGAAGGAAATCACAGAAGCCTGCCTTGGGAAGACGGCTACCAATGCTGTTGTCACAGGACCTGCCTACCTCAATGATTCTCAGCATCAGGCTACCGGTTCCACAGAAAGAAAATGGAGAATGGAAAATGCTGTTTATGTGGCTGGGAATTTTTTATTTTTAAGCATTCTTACCATCAGAAGGCCTAGTGGTGGCCATGTTCATTGCATAGGTTTGCTAAGTACTTTCTTCACATCAGCCTTGCCGGTGGGCCTTGGAAGGAAACCAACCATAAAGTAATCATTTGGTGAGGTTTGGGAAGGCTAAAGAGATTTATCTTAACTCATGTACTCTTCATCACCTGATAGACCTTAAATATAGTAAACAATTAAATATTAGTTTGAATACAAACCGTTTGAGGGTATAGTTTGCTAGACTTAAACCAGTTTTAAAAATACAGAATTGTAATTTGTTGGTAGTAAATTAAGTTGCTCAATAATTACTTATGTTTTTAAGATTATTCACTCAGGTAATAATAATTTCTCATTTAGGTCTTCACTGGGATTTTCACAGCAGAAATGTTTCTCAAGATCATTGCCATGGATCCCTATTATTACTTTCAAGAAGGCTGGAATATTTTTGATGGTTTTATCGTAAGCCTTAGTTTAATGGAACTTGGTTTGGCAAATGTGGAAGGATTATCCGTTCTTCGATCATTTCGGCTGGTAAATTAACTGGGAGTAACCATAAATTTTTTTATGATTAATTTAATTTGCTTTCACCCTTTTAAGTAACCATTATGAGATTTTACATGGTTATATTTGAATACATTCTAAAACAAACCAGATTGCCCCACAACTGGATGGTAATTTCTTCTACATTATAGCTTAAATGAATAGTTAACCTATATTCAAATGAACAACGACAATTCTCTTTTTAGTAATTGAATAACAAGGCAAATGGGGAGGGAGAAAAAGGAGTCATTAATAAACCCAAATCACAATTGAACAATACAATATTTCTCTCTCAGTTCTGTGGGGTTTGTTGAACTATGATTGAGGCTTGGTTGGAATTCAGGATGAGCTCACTTTTCTATCAGAAGCTCAAGAATTAGAGTTGCCCACTTTGCCCACATAGAAGTTAAGACTCAGCAGTGGGTAGTAACCAAGGGAAGAGGACAGAGATGCCCGGACATGCTTCAGCCGGTCCAGGAAGTCACCAAAGTCATTCTTTGAGAAAAATTGCTTGTATTGTATTTTGTTAATTTTTAAAAAAGTTTCTTTCATGTGATTGTTATATACTTTAAGCACATGCATCTTTTGAAATTAAGAGACAAAATACCACTTGGCACATTTCCATTTAAAATTTTGTATGCTTTATTGTGCTGTTATTTTGAGTTGGCTCTAACTTTTTATAAGTTATTGTCAACTAGAAGATTGTAGATAGTTACTAAAACAGGTTTCTAGGGAACTTAGCTTTTTTTCTTTAATCCTTTCCTGAGGACATGCTTATTGATTTTAGAGAAAGAGACAGAGAGACAGAGACATCCATGTGGGAGGGAACAGTTATTAATTGCTTTCTTTAGGTAACCTGCCTGGGGATTGAACCCGCAACCTAGGTATGTGTCCTGACTAGGAATCTAACCTGAAACCTTTCAGTATACAGGATGACACTCCAATCAACTAAACCACGATTAGTCTCAAGACATTGTTGTGAAGTCTGTCAAAATTTCCCTTACTACTTTCCGAGTTCACGGTTGAGTTGAGATCTTTAGAGTTGTGGTCTTTTTTCACAGAGAGCTATAAATCTAATTTAAAGTCAGAAGAATGCAAAAAATAGAACAAAAATTAGAAATGATTATATAAAAGTAAATACGGGCCCTGGCTGATTTGGCTCAGTGGTTGGAACGTTGGCCTTTGGACCAGAGTCCTGGGTTCGGTTCCTGCTAGGGGCACGTACCAAAAAAAAGGAAATACGGGCAACTACTTTTTAAAAATATTTAGTAAATCATGCCCTGGCCAGTTTGGCTCAGCGGTTAGAGCGTCAGCCTGCGGTCCGGAGAGACCCGGGTTCGGTTCCCGCTAAGGGCACGTACTTCGGTTGCAGTTTGTCCCCGGCCCTGGTTGGTCGTGCGGGTGGCAGCCACTCGATGTGTCCCTTCACGTCGATGTTTCTCTCTCTCTCTCTCCCTCCCACTCTATCTGTACAAAACATGGAAAAATATCCTTGGGTGAGGATAAAAAAAAAAATATTTAGTAAATCTTCATGATAATGTGATACAGTTTAACGAAATAGGAAGCATAATATCATTAGCATCTTGCTTAGAATGTCAAGCTTTTTTGGATTAATTATTCTCTGGGAATAAATTAAACATTGTGGTGCTTATATTTGATTCTTTGAATCACTTAGATGCCATTAAATAATGCACTACTCTTGGCTTGACATTTATTGAAGCATCAGAAATAAAACGCTGGTACTGTTTAACCATAAATGGTATTTTGGAGGCCTCTATGAGCTAATGCAACCAATGAGTCAGGCACAGTGGTGGAGAGCCATTTACACACTCTGATTAATTAAGTCACTGAAGACATAAAGGTTGATAAAATACAGCTTTTACTTAAGTCCAAGTATTTCTTCTTTGAATCTAATAAATCTTTAAAATATAGCCTAATATTACAGCAAGCTAAAGACATAATAAGATTAAAGCAGTCTAGCCATTTTTAAACATTTTTTTTTATCCTCACTCAAGGACATTTTTCCACTTTTTGTTCATATAGAGTGGGAGGGAGAGAGAGAGAAACATCGATGCAAAAGGGACACATCAAGTAGCTGCCACCCATACAACCCAACCTGGGCCGGGGACAAACCGCAACCGAGGTACCTGCCCTTAGCGGGAACCAAACCCGGGCCGATGCTCTAACCACTGAGCCAAACAGACCAGGGTGTCTAGCCATGTTTAATTAGTTGTTTTTTCTCTTATACTTTATATAATTTGTTTTAATTTTATCTGCACTTTTGCATTTTAGTATGATATTTCAAGTACACTGAAAAAATATATCTACTTCAGCCTGTTAAATAATGAGAGCTTCTACTTCTCTGAAACAGTCTTAGTTAATCCATTACCATTAATCTTAAATACCTCAGTTCCTTAAAGAAATGCAAACAGAGTGTTATAAATGCTTATGTGAGATTCTGGGAAATTTTATGTATCTTATTTTTTTATTTTATTTTTTTAGCAGGAGGGAAAGAGGGAGGAAGAGAGAGAGAGACACATCCATGTGAGAAAGACACATTGAGTGGTTGCCACCCACACGACCCCAACCAGGGCCAGGGACAAATTGCAACCAAGGTACATGCCCTTAGCAGGAACCGAAACCGGGACTCTCTGGTCCATGGGCTGATGTTCTAACCGCTGAGCAAAACTGGCATATATTATTCTTAAAATGTCAATAAAAACTGTATCATAGCCCTGGCCAGTTTGGCTCATCAGTTAGAGTGTTTGCCCGCAGACCAGAGAGTCCTGGGTTCAGTTCCCACTAAGGGCATGTACCTCAGTTGAGGTTTGTCCCCAGCCCTGGTTGGGGTAGTGGGGTGGCAACCAGTCGATATGTCTCTTTCACATTGATGTTTCTCTTTCTTTTCCCCTCTCTCCCTCCCACTCTAGCTGAAGATAAATGAAAAAAAAAAAAAAGTATTTTAAAAAAGAAAAACTGTATCATATAACTATTTTATTTATATTATAGACTATTTCCAAATGAATAATACCATATGATATCAAATACACTGGTACATCTGGTATATAACAGTTTGACACACAAATAATTCATCACACTTCAACTGAGACATTGTAGATTTTCTGCATAAATAGATCTATAAATTCTTTAGAAGACAGGACCATAACAGCCTTCTTGATTTTGTTTCTAGCTCCGAGTTTTCAAGTTGGCAAAATCTTGGCCAACTCTGAATATGCTAATTAAAATCATTGGCAATTCTGTGGGAGCTCTGGGTAACCTCACCTTGGTGTTGGCCATCATCGTCTTCATTTTTGCCGTGGTCGGCATGCAGCTCTTTGGTAAAAGCTACAAAGAATGTGTCTGCAAGATTTCCAACGATTGTGAACTCCCACGTTGGCACATGAATGACTTCTTCCACTCCTTCCTGATTGTGTTCCGCGTGCTGTGTGGAGAGTGGATAGAGACCATGTGGGACTGCATGGAGGTCGCTGGCCAAACCATGTGCCTTACTGTCTTCATGATGGTCATGGTCATTGGAAACCTAGTGGTATGTACAAACATTTTTCTCATTTTCAGTAAAATGTAATGTAACCATATAAAACTATGTCTAATTGAAGAATGTTGTATATGTTTTTTGTTTTTTTGTTTTTTTATCAAGGCCATTTTCAATTCTTAGTTATTCATTATTTAAGGAACCGGGTATAATTTATACTATTGAAATCCACATAAGTCTTTTTAGAAATTTTTAAATTATTTTTTTCTTATTGTGATATAATTGACATATATAACATAAACCCTTTTTATTTCACATTATGTGGGTAATTTGCTGATGTCATAACAAGGTTTGAGGGAGGCACATCTCACATAAGAGCATAACACCTAATCATGACTCTTACAAACTACAAAAGGATCCATAACATAAACTCTTAAGATAACCCTTTGAACCCACGTTGTTCTTTATCACTAATACCTCTTACTATTCCATGGAGATGGCCATTTATGGCATTTTTATCTTTCAGTTTTTGCACTAATGAATGGAAAGTTTACTAAGAACAGCCACTCATTTTATTTATAAGTACTAACAAACAGGATCACTTGAACATGTTTCAAATTTGCATTTCCTGCACATTGGAGTAAAAAAAAAAAATTAGTGATCCTCTCAGTCAATTAAGAGGACACAGAGCCTTGGGAGCCCAGAAACTATAGTATGAACAGGTGACATTGACTAAAGAATGACTTATTGTCATTTCCACGTAAAATGAACCATGCCCAGCACTCCATACTGAGTCCTAGAGGCCTGAGGAAGATGATCTGAAAATAAATATGGCAGACTGACGATATATTTACTTAAACAGAAGTAAAAATAAGAAGTATCTAATACATGTCAAGATATGAAAACAAAGTGTCATATATCAAGTTCACAAAATGGAAAAATTGCTTTACAAGGGCACAGATCATCAGGCAAGGTCTTGTCAAGGAGTTTGGACGTGAGATATCTTTAATTGAGTTAAGTTTTAACTTGGTAGGAAGAAGGGTCGACCATCTGAAATCAGGAAACAGTGGACTCTGGTTGGGGAACAAAGGACAATAGACCCCGTGGGAGGGATTAGCTCTTATATTTTATATTTAAGCAGTTATACTAAGCTGTTTCATAGATCCCATTCCAGTATAACAGGATAAGGATTGTCATTAGCAATATTTTTTTCTCTTTTCTTTTTTTCTTTATTTTTTAATTGTTGAAAATATTACAGATATCTCCCTTTTTTCCCTATTGACCCCCTCCTTTTCACTCCCCCACCCCACCTTCCCCAGCCTAGTGTCCATGTCGATTGGTTCTGCATATATACCTATTAGTTCTTTGGTTTATCTCTGCCCACCCCCCCTCCACCCCCCATCCCTCCAAGATTTGTCAGTCTGTTCCTTACATCCATGATTATTAGCAGTATTTTAAAGTATGTAATTTATAAACTTAATTTTATTTCACATGAGAGTAACACCAAATACCCCAAAGGGTTGGAAAGAAAGACAAAAGATTATCATTTTATTTCTATACATTATCAGCCTCTTTGGTATAGGTTAGATAATGCTGACCTATTCTTGAGGTAACAAGAAACATGAACAGTGTACAATCCAGGAACAGAAACATTGGCTCAAAACAACAAACATTTATTATTTCATTTATTGATTTTGAAATGAATTTTCAAATTTCTGTGGTCAGAAATTTGGGAGCAGTGTAACTGGATGGTTTTGGCTCAGAATCTATCATAAGATTAGATTCTGTCAAGATGTTAAGTTTAAGACAAATTTTGGAAAACACAGTCAAGAACAACTGAAACCTGAAACGGCAGAATGTTTCAATCACCTAATTAACTTCCTGTTGTGTTTCAGGTCCTGAACCTCTTCCTGGCCTTGCTTTTGAGCTCCTTCAGTTCTGACAACCTGGCTGCCACTGATGACGATAATGAAATGAACAATCTCCAGATTGCTGTGGGAAGGATGCAGAAAGGAATTGATTATGTTAAAAGAAAAATACGCGAATTTATTCAGAAAGCCATTGTTAGAAAGCAGAAAGCTTTAGATGAAATCAAACCTCTTGAAGATCTAAATAACAAAAAAGACAGCTGCATTTCCAACCATACCACCATAGAAATAGGTAAAGACCTCAATTATCTCAAAGATGGGAATGGAACCACCAGTGGCATAGGCAGCAGTGTAGAAAAATATGTCGTGGATGAAAGTGATTACATGTCGTTCATAAACAACCCCAGCCTCACAGTGACGGTGCCAATTGCTGTTGGAGAGTCTGACTTTGAGAATTTAAATACTGAAGAGTTCAGCAGCGAGTCAGATATGGAGGAAAGCAAAGAGGTAGGAATTTTTGAATAAGAAGATATTGTGGAATTATGCTTTAAAATATCAGACTATTTTAAAATTATATGTTTTCTTTCAATAAGAAAATAAATACTTATTGATACATTTTCTATGGCAAATTGGTGATAAATTGATAAATTAAAATATAGCTAGACAAATAATGCACTAATTTTTCAACTATTTATTATTTTGAATTACTGATAATATTAAAATGCAGTTTAATGTGAATTTTTCTAAGTGTTGAAATATAAATTTAGATTTGTGAAAATGCCTCAGGTTATATCCACTTTCTTCCTTACGATTCCCTCACAATGGTGTGTGTTTTTTGGTATGTACTAGAAAAATACTTGGTGAGAAGGTAGTTCCAATTCTGATTTTGCTACATTGTTGTTTCTTATGAAGTACTTCATAAAATGTGATCTTATTTGGTTTGCACAAGCCTATTTATTCATGAAAAATCTGATTGGAATCTTGGCTTGACATTTACATATAATTTCATAGATTTTATTAAGTAAATAATTTTTTCAAGGAAGTGAAGGTAGTGATGAGGAGTCACACTGAAAATATTTTTAACCCTACTGAACCCAGTGCATGCGTAAATATTGCAGGATGTAAAACTGTGAATTTACCAACTGCTGTAGAGTCTCAGTAGTTTAAAGTATTCTTTGATTTATCACAAGAGTATGAGTATCAGTATGTTTTTGGTTTTTTATAGATTAATAAGCATAGCATTGGGGGTAAAGAGAAGACGGAATTGAAATCCTTACTATTTAATTGTGTAACTGTACAAAAATATGGATGGTTTACCAAGTAACTAAAGCTTACATAAACAAATAAGAATAGCAACCAAAACCAAAGATTTATCCTAATTTTTCATTTGAATCAATTGGCAGGGAAGATCAAGACCTCTATTACTGGTCTCATTCTGAGAAAGATAGATTATTGGAGGAATTTGGAACATTAAAGTATAAAATTTAAGTAGTATAACAAAGTCTCAGTAATTAGGAATCAGTAAACAAAATTATGAGCAAAATTTCTAAGAAGGGAACCTTAGACATTTCAGTCAGTATTCCATAAAATTACTGAAGAATATGCTATTTTCCATTCTTTCCTGTTTATAAGATAAGTAGTATTGTTAATTCAGTGATTAGGTAGAAGTGTATGTTAAGCATAAATTCAGGGAAAGTTTAACTGTAGGCACTAAAATTAACATGTAAGTAACAAGCCTATGGCTACTAGTTTCAAAAAATAACTGATGAAATTAAGTGGAATATTTCAAAACTATATAGCCTGGGACAAAGAATCACTGTAGTTAATTGAATGTTTACTAATAAGACCATTATTTTCAAATTAAATATCTCAAGATATGGTTAATAAAATTTTGGATAAGCATAGTTGGATAGACTATGCTGAAAGGGTAAAGCCTAATTTCTGATATTTTACATTACTAGAAACTGAAGTCAGTATTTAGAAAATAAAATTGGGTAATTAAATTTTAATATCTGTCCCTCTCTTGCTGTTTTGACATTATTCATAACAGTTAATATTTCCCTTATAGTAAGAGAAGTCAATTTTTATTTATTTATTTTATTTTATTTTTTATCTTTATTGTTAAAGTATTACAGTTGTCTCCCCTTTTTTCTCCCATTTATGCATGTCTAATTTTAGAACATATAATTTAATCATATAAACTAAGAATGAATTATAAAGAATCAAATGTTGAAGCCATCGGTCAATTTAAACTTTTGGCTAAATTTGAGTATTTTTTGAGGTGTGGATAACTTGACATTCACTCTTGATTCAGAAATTTTAAAGCCTCAAGCTTCTCCAAAAGACTACATATGGTACCTCACCTCAAAGCATTATGTTTGACTAAGAGGAATGTCCAGTAAGGTGGGGCTTATAGAAAGAAAATTCAAGCTGTCTTCCCAGTTTTTCCTGTTATCATTAAATTTTTCATTTATTTTCTGTTTGAGTTAAGTGCTCCAAAATAATATATGTGAAGTCAGTACTTTGGAATTGGAGGCAGAAAACTGATCTTCCCGTTGTAAATAGAATTATTTTTTTGTTTCAGCTGTGGAGTCATTTCAATACCTTCCCACCCTAGAGATGATTACCTGGGTGTTAAAATATATTATTTGGAGAAATTTTCAATTACGGCTTGATCTCAAACTTTCTAAATATAAACTCATAAACTAATAAAAGATTAGTTGATAGTCTGGAAAGGGGATATATGAAGGTTTTAATCTTTTGGTATTTTACCTGGTAGCTCTAACCCTGGAAAACAACAGAGAATTGATACAATCAAGAATTCCAAGTATCTCCACCTGAAATATGTGTTTTAGTGTTCTGTCTTCAAGTTATTTTTATATATGGTCCTTTTCTTAACTGACGGTATGGGATTATGCTGTTAAATATTGCATGTAGAGTTGTAAGAAATGGTTTGAAGCTTACTGATGTTCTTTTCCAAGTGGTTAAAAAAAAACTTAAAGAAAAAAATGGAGCACTTTTTAATTTTTGGAATGCTTAAATGATTTCCTTTCTAAAGGGCAGGTTAATCAAGTGGACCCAGAGGTTGTTTAGGTGTTCGAATTTAAATCCTCTTCTATTTTGTCTTTGCCAAATTTGTATGATTCTTTGATAGTTCTATAGATGCTCTAGAGTATATCATTTCAAATTCATGTCATAATCATGTATGCTTTAACTCCTATGTTATTTTTACTATATTTAATGTAATTTCTTTTATACTCTGTGATGTTGAATGGTTGATTTTTCTTGGGAGTTTTAATAATGTTGAGGGCATGCTTGAATGATTTTCAAAGTGAAATTTACTAGTGCGATATGGTGACCTTCACTGCTTACCATTCTTACTTCTCACAGGGGTAAAACCAAGCTGGAGCCATCAAGAATGCAGCTCTGGGTTTTTTTAACCAGCCAGAGGCTCGTGCCACCACTTTTACCCAGGTTACCCAAGCAAGTTGTACATATATAAATATAATCCTTTTCTAAATGAACTTTGGCCTGCATGTTACTCAGCTAC